ATCGCCTTGCCCAGTTTGTGCTGGGCTTTCCTCGGCGTAGTAGATTCCCCATCGTGTGCTGCCAGTTCTGCAACGGTGGGCTGACGCCTTCCGGTTTCTCCTGTCGGTTCTAAGGCCCACTCAACCCATGACGGGGGAAGGATCCCCTTCAGAATCTCCACCGATATTGCATGCTCCTGGTTGAGTTCTTTGATAGCGTCCCCCATCCGCTCCACCAACACGGTTCCCGGTATCCGAACTCTCACCGACTCTCCCAATGGACCCCGTAACGCGGCTATAACCGCAGGAAGGGTGCCGACTAGGTTGCCCAGAGAAGCTGAGAACCTTCGCATAACGGCTGCTGGTAATCCTAGTCCTCCGGCTCCTGTCGACAGGCGCGCCTGGGCTTGTTGATAGGGCTTTAACTTGAAGCGGTCAGGCTGGCAGTCGTCTTGGAAGAACTCTTCTTCGACTTCGGTGTCTCTGAGCCCCATCGTTGCCTCTAGGACCCACATCACCATATTGTCCAGGCGTTTACAAGCCCCTTTCACTAGCTTATGATTGATGCCTCTCTCGATATATCCGGATCGCTGTGTCAGCGATTGTGATGTGACGAGGTGAGCCACCTGTTTGTCTGGCATGCGCACCAGCATGCGAGCAAGCTTGTCTGCACCCCCTTCAGTTATCACTTTCATTGCGATATCCTCGACGTAGGCATCCTTCCCAATGGGGACTCCCACAACTGTGATGCCCTCCTCCGCAATCGGTAGGCCTGCATCGCCAAGTAGCCTCCTTTCTGCTGGCGTCACGTCGTGCCCTGGTGGGGGAAGCGCTGAGCTCTTCCCCCTGTTGACGATGATGCCCACAGCTTCTAGTTCGTCGACGAGGTCCGGTATCACCTGGATATTTTCCGCTGTGATATTTTTGAAGTGCAGGCTGATGTCGTCCATATAAGATTTCAAGCATACCCCGAGGTGGTCGTACTTGGCTCTAAGCTTCAAGACGATCGGGACTAGGATGAAGCAGAAGAGGGGCGGTCCCATTCCATCTCCTTGCTGCACACCGCTCTTGCACTCGATCGTCCGACGCTCTCCGGAGTCCATCGTGTATATCGCCTTTGCCGGGATTTCGTCGTAACACCTGGCGATGTACCCCACGAGATCTGGGACGCTCTATTGTTGCGTAGAAATACGCACGGCAACGATTGGGGGGCAAAGCAAAGACCGAGAAAAAGACAGATAAGAGTAGGCGATGATATACTACCTACACACACACGCTGCCTCTCTCGTAAGAGTCAATACGACAACACGTACGTACGTCTGTCTCCTTAAAATATATATTACAATAATAGTGGTCGAATGTAGTATTATTACATAATAATATGATCTCTGCTGAAAACAATTGCGCGCTCAGCATTGTTAAAAAAATTCTATACTTCATACACTATAATAATAAAAAAATATATATGTTGTTGCTGCTGTGTAACATAAAAACAAAGCTGAACAAAAACTTGCCATTGAACGATTCGTAATGGAGGGTTTTACTCGGAGTTTCTGCTTTTAGCGTGGGGGGGACCGCATAGTATAAGTAGTGTGCTCTTATCGGCCGCGTGGGTGGTGTTGCCACCATTGTTTCCGCCCCTACTATAAAACCATAGAATTTGGTGCAATAGTCAAAGGCCTCACCATTTTTTTTTTTTCTCCCATCATTGGACCCTGTCGACTGCTCCTCTGGCCCCTATCCTCCACTTCTACTAGCTAGACGACCCAACCGGGGTCACAAAGGAGGGGGGGGTTGGACCCCCTCCTGCGGTTCCTGCCTGAGGTATTTTTATCGCGAGAAGGGTACAGCAATTCCTTCCCTCGCGACTTACGAAGTCGATTATGGCTTAATACACAACGAACTGCGGCGCGTCGCTTTCATCCTAGACCAGGATATATTTAGTGAGAAAAAATCTCACTCTGCCGGGATTCGAACCCATGACCTGGCCGTTAGGAGACTTCGAGGCTACCCACCTGGCCAGCGGGGCAACCAACATACATGTAGCGTAGCGGTCATCCGTTGAATTTGTCATGCAGAAGTTGCTGGTTCGACTCACCCCATGTTGTCTTTTCTTCACCGATCAACTCGACGCAGAGTAACGCTAAGCGAGGTATTGCGCAACAATAAACCAATCTCGGGTTGAATTCAATGGGGCAGTAGAGGGGAAGGCTCGCACATAGTTTATTCTTTTCTCCTCCTTCATTTACACCAATCTGCGCATGACCGCTTTCATAACCTGGTACATTATGCTCGCTCGCCCTGTAACCCCGCCACGTTATCCCATGTAATAACCCCTGGTTGGCCGGAGGCTACACAACGCCCCTGTACAACCGTGCCCACTTGCCACCTGTGCAGCGAACCTCGGGTGCACTAAAGTGCGGCAAATAGGCGAGTTTGAGTGCTGTGTCCCCAAAGTATCCCTATTTGGGCTACCAGTACTAGGAGGGTCAAAACAAACTTGAAACACGCCTAAGTACCCAACCGGTTTCCCTCACTGCGAAGACTCCAACACATCCCGTTCGACTGTGGTTTTGTCTCTAACGGGTAGTCTCTCATTAATTGAAGTATTTTTTGTTCCTAAAATGAGCTGCGGCTACGAAGTTGACACTATTTTTCACCGCCTTGTATACCACATCCCGTTCGACTGTAGGTATGCGTATCTCGAACGCGTAGTATTTCTGCGTGTATAATAATTTTTCGTCGTATATGGAAATACCGGAAGAGATCGACCTCACCACGCCAACAGAAACAAACGAAGATGGTACCCTCAATAATAATTTAAAAAAAAAACGGAGATGGTACCCTCCCGCGGCGATAGATAGATCGCCACGAAACCACAAGGATGACTGTACATGTACGCCTCTTCATCTGTGGGGTTGTTTTGTAGAACAGAGCGAAAGCACACACCCACAGCTCATCACATCCCCCTGAACGATCTTCAAAGCCCGCGTGAGCTTAATCAATGATTCCACACGTGCTTCTTGAGTATCTGGAGAAAGACCGACACATATGCATGGCATACATACTTCGTACTGTGCTCTGCAATAGTACTGAAAAACTCTCAACATTTCGTACGAAGAACCTTTAATACACGGGTCGGCCAACGGGACGTTGTAACTGGTGCCCAACCTCGCCGGGGCCAGGTTGAGACGTTGGGGATCGACCTTGGACAACATGTAGTCTACGTTGCCAATCCGCCCTGTTAATTGGACCAACGCCGCAATTCGTGATGCGGGGGTAGCTGCATACATACGTCGGCGAATAACCTGGCCCTAGGGAGGTTTTGGGGAGGTTGGTGCCCATGGCCATCCTTTCCGCTTCACTATAGAAAATATACGACCCCCCCGTTCGCCCCCCCCCCCTGGTGTTTGCCATCGGGGATGGGTTTTCGTCGCTTGGCGACGACGTTGTAAAACAAGCCACCCCCTTGGTGTTTGCCATCGGGATCGGACTTTAGTCGCTTGGCAATGACGTTCGAAAAGAAGCCAATTCACTTCGTGAACTCGGCAACCAGAATACCGTTTTTTTTTTTTCCTCTGTTTTGTTTTGGCAGTAACCATAATGGTGGTCGCGTGGATCATGTTGTGCGGGGTCGAGAACCCTCACTCCGCGCAAGGGGGATGATCGCACCACGTTGTGTTAAAATGGTCAAGCACCCTCGAGGCAGTTACACCGTGCTTACAACTGTCTCTGAAAGTGAAAGACCCAGAAATCAAATTAACTCATACGCAGCTGTTATCCGTACACAAAGAAGTAAGCACAAGATGCCGAACACCTCTAGCAGGATGCAGCGCACCCTTCATGCGACTCGCCGAATATCTCACGGCGCTTCGCGCT